GAAACTAGAATAGGTAACTATTAAAATAGAAAAGAATGATTTTTGTAACACACACACACACACACACACACACACACAACACGTAACATCTGGAACTTATTGCCACAAAGTTGTCATTGAGGCCAAGAGGTGCTTTGAGATCAAAAAGGTTTATCTATTTTATATTGGTAATATCTACAGGTTGCATTATATAAGACTTGCTTCAGGGAATAAGCCAACCACTAATTGACAAGGTTTAAGAAGAAATGACTCTACTCTTCTGGGTATACTATTTCATAACTGTCCACTACGTGACTTCTTGCATGTTCCTCTGAAGGATGTCAGACACTGGATACTGGACTAGATGGACTGCTTGTCTGATCTTCTGTGGCTAAAGGACCAGGACATCATAATCCTCTTTGTCCTTTGAGTTTACCAGTTATTTGTGTTACTCGTGAATTAAATGGAACAAGTGTAAAAGTTTTTCTGAACCAGGTGATAGATTTGACATAGGTGATGTGCTCTATTTAATATGTTACAGTAGCTGTTGCTGATCACTATATGATATAAAGTGAAAAGCAATGATGAAGGGAGATTGCTCCCTACTGACTACCAAACAAAACACTTGATTATGCTTCTAGCTTAGAGATCTCAAAAACAGTGTTAATCCAGGTGTACAAACATAGTGCCTTCTAACTAGAGAATCTGCATAAAGCTTAACCATTTCAAACAAGAATCAGCTTCCTTTTTTTAAAATTTATCCACTGTATATGTTTTTCCCCACTCGATACTGTTAAGCCAAATCCTGTTGACTATACTGAGGCATGTTGCCCCACTGAGGTCAGTTTGACTCTCCATCATTTTTCCACTGTTAACATTGTAATCTGTAATGAAAATTATTTTAGCACAACCGGAACAAGTCTGCCAGTATCTTATGAATGATGGCAGAAAATCTATAATCTATTAGGGCACAAAGCCTTTGTTTACATTTTTAAGTAATCCTTGATAACAATGAGGAATTATTTATGATTACATGAATCCTATTAAGCCAGGAATAAGAAATTTCCTATGTCATTAATGCCAGCTCTCTGCACTGCTGCACATGCAATTTAGCACGTATAATCCTCACCTCCTCACCTTTGTCTAGAAATGCTTAAAGGCTTGTGGTAGTGTCTTTGTTCTTGGGTTTTTTTAATTCAGTGTGCAACAAACATATTAATATGCCATTAGGCTTCTGTGACAAGTGGCAGTGTGAACACTAAATTGCTGAATGCTTGGGTAAAAGTACTTCAGAGTGCATGTGCCATTCTGAAATTCTTTTGCGATTTGTTTTTGTCCTCAGATTCTTCTCAGCATGCCCCTTCTGAAACAAGTGAGGACCCTGAAGTTGAGGTTACCATTGAAGGTTAGTTTTTCCAACTCCTGAATTCCAATCTTTTTGGGTTCTCTTGGTAACAAAAGCCTTTCACAATTGTCTGGCTGAGTACGCATGATGTTTTCTTTCACCCACTACCTAGAGTAGAATAAATTTGAGAACTACCATATAAGCACACTTACTCCAAGAAGTTCAGTAAAAACACAACATATCAAAAACATGGTGATTAAATCTTTTGTCAATTTTTTCAAGCATTTTTTGCATTAATAGTACAAAATATTCATTACTCTAACTGCAAGGTAAAATTTAAGACTA